ACGATATTACATCCCATTCTTGATATTGTTAGCGATCGATATAATGTTTTACTTACTCACAACTCTCAGTTTCAACTTATGCTATCTACTGACGTTTCAAATTAGAAGCAAATCACCATTTATTTATGGCAAAGATATTAAAAAGTGGATGATTTCATACTTAGTTGGATGGAATAGTAAGGACATGAGAATCAATTGATATGTGAACAAAGAATGAAATATCTCTGAGTGCTGAAAGAGATAAAGCTGTAGTAGCCGAGCCAAGGAGGAGGGAAGAACACGTTATCTCAGTTCATGCATTAGAGCCTGTTGTTGTATTACATCTTTGATTTGGATAGTTAAAACAATCCTCATTTGATGTGCATGGCTCACCAGGCTCATGAATCATTTCCAATTCACATTGAGCTCGGACTTGACACGAAGAAGGGTTAGGTTCAGGTATTTCATTGCTTGTAATTGAACATGCATTTCACATCTGTGTGAGAAAATGAAAAAAGCATTTCTCATCAATGCAATTTCTCAAATTTTGAAGTAAAGCTCTAGAAACATTTCCTGTTAAATAATCCGACAGGTCTGTTGAGATTGTATTAGGATGAAAAAAACCGACCGGATCAAACTGTTCTTATCTGGTGTTTATGTTATCATGGATAATACTTCGCGATTGCGTGGGTTGAATCTGCCACTGATTCACATCTTGTTCTCTTCTACCGCTCACTGTCAATATAGAACCACATAACTTTATGAGACATTTATTCACTTTCTGTTTCATTTTTGTAACCGTCCGAATCAATGTTGTTTGGCAGGAAATAATCGGAAATACTAATCAAAAATTTCCCTAAGGTTATGGCAAAGGAAACTGTAGCTTCCACATATTCATTGCCAGGAGGTTCCGACACCAATTTTTCAGAAGTTCCCGACACCACCCCTTCAGAGGATTCAAATTCCCCCACGTCAATAAAACAGTCTGTATCATCATCAATACTTATCTGTTCGACCTCAGTACATTTAATATAAAACTGAAATAAAGTAATCTTGAGAACTCTCAATTGGGTTACAAACCGTTTCAAACAACTGTTTTTCTTTTTTGAGATCAGATGTCTCTTTCAACTGGAGTAAAATAATCTCATGAATTATCAGATGACTTATATACCTCTCTCTCCATCTGCGCTCTTATATTCTTATTACATTGACAATACAACTGAAACTATACTATCTTGAGAACTGTCAGTTAGTTACAAACCTTTTTGAACAGCTCTCTTTGCTCTGAGTCTCGGAGAAAACAAAATTGTGAGAGTTTGTAATAATGATCTGATAGTAAGAGTTGAAGGTTTTGCAGTCAAGGAAACTCAAAGAATTCTTTCTTCTCAAGCTTTTACTTTTTCTACAAACGAATTAAAGGTTCTAGGACTCTCTGATTCTGTATCACAAGCTCCTGCAGAATCTTCAAATCCAAGTCTTCAAGAAAATAGTATAAATCCCTATAGATATACGAAAGTCAGAAATGAACATTATAAAAGAAAACAAGAAATAAATATGAAGCTGAAAGAAAAGAGTTCGAAATAAGAAGAGAAGAAATAATGACAACATATCTTGAAATCGAGAAAAAGAAACGGAAAATTAGTGAGACTTGCAAGACTAAAAGGATCTTCTCCGGATTCTTGTGAAATTCAAAGATCAAGTAAGTAATAATAATACGTTTGATAATAATAATGATCCAGAAGACAATAGATCTGATAAAATCGAAGATTCTGAGAATCAGAGGAATAATAGAACAAAATGATCAGAGTCTTCAGCTCCTAGATCCGAAGGATTTTCTAATAAAGAGAAGAAAATTAAAAAGAACTTTTTCCATTACGTATTTATGAAGAATACTCATAAATTAAGAAATATTGTCTCAGGGTTCTGAGTTAAGAAGTTTAATTAATTTCTGAGATACATTTATAAACAGTTCTTATTAACTGAAATGTTCTCGGCATCCTTTCTGATTCTTCAACAGAACATCTGTTAAATCTTCTCCATATTTATTCTGATAAATTATATTGAGCTGCTTTCGCTGAAATTAAGTTGATTAAAATAACTACTGAGAAATAAAACGTACGAGATCCTTCTGCATATTAATGCTTTGAAATATAAGAGAAATATTGCCAGTTTTAGAATGCTATAAAATAATAAATTGTATAACTAATATATTTTGTATTTTTCAATTATTACCTCGTGAATTTCGTTTGCCATTTGATCTAGATCCAATTGGAATAAATGTTTCTTTAGATATATGGCCATTTCTTTCTCGACCTTCAGCTCTTTTTCTATGATATCGATAAATCTAAAAAGTATAACACAAGTTTTTTTGTTAACTTTCAAAACAAGAAATTTACCGCATGACCTTTGGCAAAGCGTCTTCAACTTCTATCACTGTCAGGTCATTCTGTGACCATCCGCGCGTATGAAAGCTAATAAAAGAAAGATTGCAAAATTCAGTTATTATGTTTTTCTTACATGTAAGATTGGGTCCATCCACTAACAATTTCGGCAGCCAACTCTTCATCCACTTTCTTTCTAATGAGTCGCGTCAATTTTGTGAATTTCTTGTAGCTCCACTGGTTCGATACCGTTTTGGGTACGATTTCGATTTCAGTATCCCGCTCCAGCTTCTTCAAGTAATTGATCAGCGATAACTTGCAAGCCTGTTAATACTATAATGAAGAATGAAAATTTAAGGAAATTAGTTAAATTGGAGGAAAGTTGAAGAACTTCCAAAAAGTAATACTTGAAATAACTTTTCGCTCGCTTGAGCCGAGTCCATGTCTGCTAAACATTGATGAGCTTTCTCTTTCAAAAGATCAACCGTATAAATAAGATGAGAGGACTTCTGAAATGATATCGAGTTCACATGTTGTGAGATTATTATTATAAAATATGATAATTAATACGGCTTACCTTTTTGAATTGTCTCAGAACATGTGATAAACGCAGCATTTGTTATTTTGAATAAACGTAAAGAGTACAGGAAGCCCTTTTTCATTCACAAACGAGAAAAATGGTGTTTCAAATTTAGCGCTTTCCTCTGATTCTCTGACCAACGCGTCTTTCGCATCTCTCATCTCTAGCTCTACTCGTTTGTCGTTTTTAGAAATTCACAATTAAACTTCAAAACTGTTTTTTATATTTTTATTTTATGAAATTATTATATCTAAAATTGTTCTAAATTTTTTATCTGCTTTTTTCTACCATAATTCACTGGTTTAGACCCAACAAACATGTTTCGTTTCTCTCAAGTCATGAGACAATTCAAAACGGTAAGTCATTCATCATCATTTGTTCTTGATAATAATCACACAACATGTGAACTCGATTTCATTTCAGAACTCCCAATCGCAATTCTTTTCGTTAGCTGAATTACTGAAGGAGAAGGCTGTTAAAAGTTTTGCAAAAAATGACACTGCTCACCTTTGTCAAGAATCTTTCATGGTATTATTTTATAAAAATAAATTATAGTTTTCAAAAAGTTTCGAAATTAATTATGTTCATGTCATTGACTTGGATAATTCAATATTATTTCAGATTTCAAACTCCCACCTCATTTCTTCAGTGGATTCGTTGAAAGAGAAGGCTATTGCGTCTTTA